AGAGTGACCCCGCACGGAGCCGGTGCTGGGGGCGGGAAGGGACCCCAGAGAGCCTGGGCTCACAGAGCGGTTGCAGCTGGAAGGGTCATCGAGGGCAGCCTGTGCCCCAGCCCCACCAACCCACGAAACTGTCCCCAGCGCCACATCTCTGAAACCCCTCCGGGGATGTGACTCCAGCCCCTCCCTGGGCAGCCTGTTCCCATGGCTGACAGCCCTCTCGGTAAAGAACGTCTTGCTGATAGCCAACCTGAACCTCCCCTGGCGCAATTTAAATCCATTTCCCCTCGTCCTGTCACTCTTCACGAGGAAGAGCCCCAAGGAGAGCTCTCTGCGGGAAAGCATGTGGTGTTTATCCCACTGCTTCGGTACGTTTCACTTGCTGCTCTGCCTGAGTCCCCAGGACTCGCGCAGCAGCTTCGCAGGGCAGGGGTGTGACAGGTGCCCCCGCATCTCGGCACAGACGTGCTGCTGGTGCGGCACACGGGGCCAGGCAGTCACCCAGTGGGGTGTGGCTGGTCTCCAAGTCGCCTGAGCAGTCCTCCTCCGGTCCTCCTTGCTAGCCTGCCGTTATACCCTCACAGCCCCCTTCACCCCGCTGCGTTTGTTCTGCAGGTTCCTCCTGACCCGGCTGAAGGAGTTCTGCGGGGAGTTCCTGAAGAAGAAACTCAACCTCTCCAACTGCGTCGCGGTTCACAGCTTGGCCCACATGTATTCCTTGAATCAGCTGGCCCTCAAAGCCCAGGACATGATCAGGAGGAACTTCTACAAAGTTATCCAGGATGAGGAGTTCTACACTCTGCCCTTTCATCTCATCAGGGACTGGCTCTCGGACTCGGAGATCACAGTGGACTCGGAAGAAATCCTTTTTGAGACTGTTTTGAAGTGGGTGCAGAAAAATCCTGAGGAAAGAGAGAGGTACTTTGAAGATCTCTTTAAGCTGCTTAGGCTCTCTCAGATGAAACCCACTTACCTCACCCGCCACGTCAAATCCGAGAGGCTGGTGTCGAGCAACGAAGCCTGCGTTCGGTTGGTGTCCGAGGCCGTGGAGAGTCACGCCCTGCGGGCCGAGAACCTGCAGTCGGGGAACCTGCAGCACTGCGCCTGCCCCGTGGCGCTGCTGCCGCGCCTCGGGCAGAACATGGACGTCATCATGGTGATCGGCGGCGTCTCGGAGGGAGGGGATTACCTGAGCGAGTGCGTCGGGTATTTCATCGATGAGGACCGGTGGGTGAACTTGCCGCACATCCACAATCACCTCGACGGTCACGCCGGGGCCGTGACGGAGTCCTACGTGTACGTAGCCGGCTCCATGGAACCCGGCTTCGCCAAGACCGTGGAGAGGTACAACCCGAACAGAAACATCTGGGAGCAGGTGGCGAACCTGATCACCAGGAAGCATTCCTTCGGCCTGACCGAGGTCAGGGGCAATCTGTACAGCATCGGCGGGCACGGCAATTTCAGCCCCGGCTTTAAAGACGTGGCCGTTTACAACCCCAAGCAGGACAAGTGGCACAACCTGGAGTCGGCTCCGAAGATCCTTCGCGACGTCAAAGCCGTTTCCGTCGAAGACCGGTTTGTTTACGTGGCCGCCCGGACCCCCGTGGACAGCGACAGCGAGGACGGGCTGCGCGCCGTCATCATCAGGTTCGACGCCGAGACGAGGCAGTGGCAGGACGTGGAGTCTCTGCCGCTCATCGACAACTACTGCTCTTTCCAGATGTCGGTGGCTCACACGAACTTCTACCACACGGCATCGTGCTGCCCCAAGAGTTACTCCGTGGATAACGAGGAGGCCAAGGCGAAGATCTCTGGCAGGGCCTCGGATGAAATACTCGAGAGCTTGCCCCCAGAGGTCCTGAGCATTGAAGGAGCAGCGATCTGTTACTATAAAGATGATGTTTTTATCATCGGGGGGTGGAAGAACAGCGACGACATTGACAAGCAGTACCGGAAAGAGGCGTATCGGTACTGCGCCGAGAGGAAGCGCTGGATGCTTCTGCCTCCCATGCCTCAGCCTCGCTGCAGGGCCACGGCCTGCCACGTGAGGATTCCCTTCAGGTGCTTGCAGGGGACGCAGAGATACCCTATGCCCCAGAACTTGATGTGGCAGAAAGACAGAATCCGGCAGATGCAGGAGAGGCAGATGCAGGAGATCCACCGGCACTCGCTCAGCCTGCGGAGGATGCCGCGCTCGCAGATCGAGTGCTAGCCTCCGGCCTGAGATGCAGAAAATGCTGCGCGAAACCCCTGTGGCAGCCTTGGCGTGTCTGTGTGAGATGGGAGGGGTTGGCTGGGTTTGATGCGTGAAACCGGCGTCTCGTGTGTATCGAGAGCTGAGCAGCTCAGAGCCGAGGGTGGGTGGGAGTGGAGGAGCTCCGTGGCTGCAGCAGCGTTACTTCACGGGAGAACCGTGGCCTGGCCCGGGCCGCGAGGTGTCTCTGGGAACGTTAAGTCTGTTCTCTCTCTTCAGACCTTTGTTTTCAAGGATTTCTGTAGAGTTAGTCTCTAACAGTTCTGTTTTGAAGATCAAAGCTGTCTGTCTTAATAATTTAGTGGTTACCTTTGTGTGTGCTCGAAAGCACCTGCTTTATTTGCACTTATCGACTGACATTCCTTCGGTTCGCTCCCTTCCGGTGACTAAACTTCACACAGGATCAGTGTTAGTGCACCTGGCTTTCCCAAGGGGGAGGCAAGTGCAAGAGTTGTATCTATGGAGAAGAAAAAAGCACAACCTTTCTTTGTAAAGTTACTTCAGGCTGTTTCTCTGTGCGTGAAATATTTTGTATTTGTACGTTACAGAGAGGCTGCAGGGTTTGTTTAGAAATGGCTGTGGTAGAACACGATGCGCTTGCGGAAACAGAGACCTTGAGGCAGTAGATTTATATTATATTTTTTCCCAAGTGTATCTGAAGATGTTTGAGTTTGTCTTTGGCAGCTTCTTTAGAAGCGCGGGTCAGCAGCCAGCCTGATCCAAGGGGTGAAACCCAGTGAAGCAGCCGCCCGCCAGCCTTGGCCCTTCGTGTGGAGCAGGAAAACGAGATTGTTCCACGGTGGCAGGTTGGAACCTGAGCTACTTGTGGATCCTTTCTCAAGTGTTGCCCCCGTTCCATTTTCTAGGGAGAAGGAGGTCAGGAGCAGCGCGGGCCTGTTTCCAGCTTGTCTCTGACAATCAGAACCCTTTGCCTCGGGGGTACGTGCCCAGGATGCTCCAGCAGCCGTGCTGCAGCGCTCCTTCCCGCACCCCACTCGCTGGTCCCCCTGAAGCCAGGGAGCTCAGTCTGCCCGGCTCTAAATAGCTCGAATTCCCCCCTGGCCGTGGCGGTGAGATTCCAGCTGGTGTAAATACCGTTTGGTGTTTTGAGGTGGGTTTACATAAACCGAGGCTGTGGCTGGCTCCGGTTTGCTCCCTGCTCTGGAGAGCCCTGGGACGGCTGCGCTTCCTGCCAGATTTATGGAGCTTTCCTACCTCCTCTTCTTCCCCATCCTTCCCTCTGTCAGGACGTTCCAGGTGTTCATGTGCTGCCCGGCTCAGGCTCGTAGGGCAGGGAGGAGGAGCCGGGACACTCCAGGAGTCGCGCAGACAGGCGTTGTCAGGAGAACCCGCTCGCTGTCTGGTTCCTCTGATGGTTTACTGGTGGTTTTGATGTGGGCAGCTTCTTTCAGAAAGCGCTTCTAAACAGTTTGGTGTTTTGTTTTCTAATTGTTTTGCTTTCTGAGCTGATACTTCTCATTTTCCAATTCAGCAGGCAGCCTAGATCGTATCTGAAACGCCGGGTAAGTTTCAAGCACGGAGTGTGCAGAGCTTTGTCTGGTGTGCACGTCCCTAACGCTCACTTTGCAGTTCACTTGCCACTTTTGATATCAATAACTTGTCTTTTTGTAACAGAGCAATCTAGCCTTGGTTAAAAGAAAAGCTTGAAAATCTTAACGGTTCGGTGTGCATTTGCTCATCTCTGGTAACAGCGTTGTCTTTCGTTTGCCTGTTGGATTGTGAGGGCGGGTGAGATCGTGTGGTGCTGGCCTGAGGAGAGAGAGGGAGCAGATAAGCTGGTGCAGGTTTGAGGCTGATGCTCAGGAGTGACCGTCACCAGAGCGGCCCTGAGCCGGGGGTGACCCGGCACGGACTGGCCTGTGAACCTGCAGGGTTTGGCTGGAGCGGGTCGGGAGTTGCTGCCCCCACAGCCGGGGTTGTGAGTAAAGCAGAGGCCTCTTCAGCTTCAGTGCTGAGCCCATCGGTTTCACTTCCATTTGTGGAGCTGATTTTTTCAGATGCTTTAGCAGAAGCAGCCGAGAAGCTGCCGGGCCCTTGTTCCCGCAGGCTGTGCTGGGGGCATTTAGCGAGCGGCTGCAGGAGGGTCGTGTGTCAGACCCCAGGGCTCTGCCCGAGCCCTCTGCAGCCTGTGGGCAGCCCTGGGTGGCGCACGGGGAAAAACGCCAACGTGGTTCTCTCCCTTGGGATACGAGCTGAGGAGTTGAACACGTGGCAGCAGCAACGAAGTTCAGTGTGGGAACGAGCTTCCTGCAGTCTGTCCAAGCAGCATCGATGCCGCGAGGGCTTTGGGCTCCCGCCTGAGCCGTGTGGTTCCCTAAAGATGCTGCACACAGAGACCGGGTCAGAGCAGCTTCACCCGTGGGCGCGGCCGGGGCCCCCGCGCGTCGCTCACTGTCCTCGCATGCTCTGTTTGCACGGCAGGCGCTGGGCACCCTCACGGCTTTGCTCTAACTTCTGCTCTGCCCGTCCCTAGAATCTGTGAGCAGTCGCGGTGGGTTTGCAGCCTTGACTTTCAGCAGAGCGATTGCGTTGCACGCAGGTTCTGACTG